CTTAACTTGCATATGAACAGCTGATGGTGTGTTCCACAGTCTGCCCTTGGCTTTGTTTTGGTTGATGATATGGAGCTTTCCCACCATCTCTTCCCACAGATGTAGGCAATTTGATTTCTGTGTATTCCAGCTGGTGAGGTCCATGTATGTAGTCAACTGTTATGTTGGTTTAAAAAAGGTATTTTCAATGAATAAGTCATTGTTCTTGCAAAATTTTCTCATGTGATCTCCAGCATCATTTCTGTTACCAAGACCATATTTGTCAACTACTGAGCCTTCCTCTTTGTTTGCAACCATTGCATTCCAGTCACCAGTAATTATCAATACATCTTGATTGCATGTTTGATCAATTTCACACTGAAGAAGTTGGTAGAATTTATCAATTTCATCATCACTGACTATAGTGACTGGTGCACAAATTTGAATGATAGTTGTGGTAACTGGTGTTTCTTGTAGGCATATGAATATCACAACATTATACTTCACAATAGATCTTGAAATGTTGTTTTAATGATGAACGCAACACCATTCCTCTTCAATTTGTCATTCCCAACATAGTAAACCATGTGACTGTCAGATTCAAAATGGCTGATACCAGTCCATTTCAGCTACCTAATGGACTCCTAATGGGATCAGAACCAACCCAATGATACATAACAACAACAACGACAACAACAATTGTCTCCTGCTGTGACACTGTAGGGTCAGCATTGGACTACTAACCACAAGGTTGGCAGTTCAAACCCTCCAGCTGCTCCTCAGAAACTCTATACAGTGTCGCTATGAGTCAGAACCCACTCGACGGCACTTAATAGTAACAGCAACAACAAAATAGTACAAGGAACCCCATTGGTGCCATGAGGTAGGTGTTGGGCTGTTAACCACACGGCTGGCAGTTCACCCCCTCCAGTCACTTCTTGGAAGAAAGATGCGGCTGTCCGCTTCCATGAAGACTTACAGTCTTGAAAACTCTGGAAAGGGTAGCTCTGAGTCTCAGCCATCATAGAGAATACATATGGCGTCTGCAACAGAACGTTGCTGGAAAGTTAGACATTCAGTGTGCTGTAAAGGTGTCCATTTATGGTGTCTCTGTCACAGCGACACCAGGTAACTAAGACAGTGGGACAGGAGAAGACATTTTCCCTTCCATGTGGAAGACCTGGGTCTGATTCACGGCTAGTGCACATCATGGGACGGTACCACCCATCAGTCAGTGGAGGTCTATGTGTTGTTAGGATGCTAGACAGGTTTCAGCCGAGCATCCAGACTGAGACGGACTAGGAAGAGAGACTTGGTGATACACTTCTGAAAAATCAGCCATTGAAAATCCTACGGGTCACAACGGTCCAATTGATCACAGCCGTCTAATGTGAAACTGATCATAGGATGCCCAACAGCTTTTCGTTTCTTTGTGTCTGGGGTCGTGGGGGCCAACTGGACGGCTGAGAACAATATTTGATAAATTGCATCTGACTAGGAAGTCAGATTGTTCAGGATTGAAGGAAGACTTTTTAACAACCTGCGGCATGTCGATGATCCAACCTGGCTTGCTTGAAAGTGAAGAGGACTTAAAATAATTACTGATGAAGATCAACGAGCACAGCCTTCGGTATGAGTTGCACCTCAGTGTAAAGAAAACAAAAATCCTTATCGCCGGACCAATACATAACAGTCACATAAATGGAGAACAGATTGAAGTTGTCAAAGACTTCATTTTGCTCGGATAGAAGCAGCTGTCAAGAAATCAAGCGATGTATTGCATTAGGCTGCACAAGACCTCTTTAAAGTGTTGAAGAGCAAAGATGTCAGTTTGAGGACTAAGGTGTGCCTGACTCAAGCCTTGGTATTTTCAACAACTTCACATGCATAAGGAAGTTGGACAATGAATAAGTAAAATCGTAGTAGAAGAATTGATGAATTTGAGTTGTGGTGTTGGAGGAGAATATTGAAAGTGTCATGGGCTGCAAAAAGAACCAACAGATCTGTGTTGGAAGAAGTGCAGCCAGAGTGCTCCCTGGAAGCCAGGATGGCCAGACTTCGTCTCTCACACTGGACATATTGTCAGGAGGAACCAGTGCCTGGAGAAGGAGATCTCATTTGGTAAGATGGAGGGTCAGAGAAGAAGAGGAAAATCCCCAATGAGATGGATTGAAACAGCAGCAGCAGCGAGGGGCTCAAATGTAGCAACAGTTGTGAGGTAGGTGCAGGACTGGGCAGTGTTTTATTCTGTTGGGCATTGGGTCATTGTGAATTGGTACTGATTCGATGGCACCTAACAACAACAACAGAAAGTCTGTGAGTGAACCCTACGAGGAGTTTTCCAAAGTTCATGAAAAATGGAGCTAAAAGACAATGGGATTTTTCCATGAACTTTTGGAAGCCCCTTTGTACACACTGGACTCGAAGACATAGCCCTAAAAGTCCTGTAACTATCTTGTAAGCAGGCATGTCATTGCTGGTTCTGTAACCAAGCATTGGCGTTGTAATGGCAGGCATGTCATGGCAGGTTTTGTAACCAAGCATTGGCGTTGTTTCAGGAGCCCTTCATTCATCTATGGGGAGGACTTCGTAGGCTAGGGTGATGTCTGCCCCCACCTCTGGGTCCAGTCCTCTCACATCTGACCAGCTAGATGAGGGTCAATACCTAGATCAGGGAAAGTTGTAAGATTGTCTTTAGCTGAAGAACCACATCTGATGATACTTTGGTGGCACATGGTGTCTATCCTGCATGCTGCTCAATGAAGCCAATGTCAAAGGAGTCACCGAGGCGTCCCCTGAGTTAACTGAATGATGAAGCTGAAGATGGTCAGGAGCATCTGATGAGAGCCACTGACCATTCCCGTCTGTCTCCTTTTGTGTCTTCAGAGTTTGGAACGGAGTCTCTTGCATAGAATGCACACAGTGACTATTTGTAAAGAAAGTGAATGGACATTCTTTCAAGACAAATGGAAATGTACAAATTTTGTGTACAATTTCAGGACTAAACAAAGGTGCTTTAGGACCCATAAGTGAAGTCCTTGAACTTAAAAAGCAAACAAACCCCAACCCGCCTTAGTTCCTGGCATGGTGATTTAAGCACAGGGTAAATACGTATGAAGTCAACTCAAGTTTGGTTTAGCCACACTAGAATGGGCCTTCCTTCTCTCAGATCTGGGGATGTTGGAATCATTGGCATAATGAATGACTAGCATAATGAGTGTAATTTTAAGGAGACTTCCTAAGTAATTGTGATGGAATCTTGTGGGTGTGAGTATGGTTTTATAGGCACTATTAAAAGATGCCCTCAGGGTCTTTGTTGTTGTTTTTGTCAAGTGCCATTGGGTCGATTCTGATTCATAGTGGCCCTTTATAGGGTTTCTGAAGAGCAGCCGGTGGGTTTGAACCACTGACCTTGGGATTAGCAGTCCAGTGCTGATCCTTCAGTGCCGTGTTAGGATAGAGTAAGTGGAAAAGAGTAGGCTTGGTGGTGTGGTGGCTAAGTGCTTGGCTGCTAACCAAAAGTTTGGCAGTTCGAATCCACCGGCTGCTTTGTGGGAAAAAGATGAGGCCATTGCTCCAGTGAAGATCTACAGTCTTGGGAAAGCTATGGGGGAGTTCTGCTCAGTCCTATAGGGTCTGTGTATCGGCAGTAGTGGGGTAAGTGGAAAAGAAAATATCTTTGCGTGGTGCAAATGATTTGTGCTTAGCAACTCCACCTCCCCCGCCTCTCTTCCCCTCACAACCAGCATCACAACGGACAAAAGACCTGGTGATCTGTACCCAAGCAAGCCCCATCGGCAGTTCTACCCTGCACCCTGCAACATGCACGGTCACGATAAGTCCACAGCCTTTTCTTTCCATGGAAAAGACACACTCAGCAATGTTGACACACTTCTGTTCTTTTAGTTATCTGGCAAAATGAAAACCAAGAGTTCTCCTTTTTACCTGTTGGGATTTTTGACCTCCTCTGTCCATCAATCTGTTGATGCAGAACTCAGTCAAGTCCCCTCTGAAGAAGTCCACTGTGGAGAAGGTGACCAATATGCAGATCCTGCTGCTCTTCTTAGTGCTCTTGGTCATTTCCTTCTTGAGCTGCGTGGGAGCCATCTTCTGGAATGACTTCTACCAAAAAGAAATGTGGTACATTAAGAAGAAGGGTAAGTGTTGGGGGTGGGAAGAAGTTGCCATCTTGGCAAGTTGGAACGCCTTTACTCCTTTAGTTTTCTTTAAACCTTCTTATTGTGAATTGGTTGAAGGTTGAAAGAGCAGATGGGTTTCAACAATTCAACACTCGGTACTCATTTTGTTTCACGTCATTGATGGTGGTCCCCACCGTGTAACGTCACTCGGTCCATGTCCTCTGTGAGTTTCCTGTTTTCCCTTCTTGCCTTACTCTTCTCAACCGTGTCCTTGCGTGAATGCTGCCTTTTGGATCTCAAATGGTTTAAGACTTATCTATGTTTTTATTTCAAAGGAAAAACACTTGTGCTGTGTTCGTTTTCTGAGAACATGAAGGTAAGTGAGTTTTAGAAACAGAACAATTCTTGTTAGGTTTTTTATTTTTAAATGACTGTTCTGACAAATTGTCCACAATTAGGGCTTTCTAGAATAGAAGAGATCAGAGCCAGGGCAGAGTGTGAGATACATAACAAGTCTTCAACTCTTAAAACCCCAAAACTTGGGTGAGTGTTTTCATTTCTCTGATCCTTATTCCTCACTGGGTTTTTCATAGTTAAGCTCACAGCTTTACATACAGTAAGTGGTACCAAGACACATTACCAAGCACTCTGGCTGGGACCCATTAGAAAGTCCCAGTTAGAATGGGAGAAAAATGTGGAACAAAACCCAGAATCATAAAAAAAAGGCCAGGCTTATTTGCGGAACCCCCAAGACCTTTTGTCACCATTCAGGCCTGAAACTGAACTCACCTCTGTGCTTCAGTTTTCAGCCAAACAATAGAAGGTCTGTAAAGACAACAATAAGGAGCTCTGGTAGTGTAGTGGTGATGAGTCCGGCTGCTAACCTCAAGGTCAGCATTAGGAAAATGAGACTTTCTACTCCCATTAAGATTTGTTGTTGTTGTCAGGTGCCATCGA